TCTTGTGGTTTCCATACAATGGAGTTTGCGTGAGTAGGAATTCCAAACATGGATTTTACAAGACAAGGCATTATTCAATGTTTGTTTCTATCCGCAAAATTGGGTACATGCGATCTTCCCCTTTGTAGTGATATTAGGCCGTAAACTTCAGAAAGTTACTAAATTAGAAAGGTACGTGAAATACCATGAATAATGACCACTACATTGATTGTAAATGCGATTTTTTTTTGAAATTTGTGCATATCCTCGGTATTCTCTACATTGGGTGACTGAAATTCAGATTAGTCTTTCTAAACGTTTAGACTGGTGTTAAGGAGCTTTTTTTTTCACTTCATAGCAGAGCAGTTTACTATCACTATTCTGCAACTCACTTAGTTGAGAGATGCAAGTTCTAGCAAAAAATGTTAAGTCGTAGCATAATCTTTTATTACAAAGACGTCATAAGCACAGAATCTATGCCATAAAGTGCCCTAGCAAAGTAAACATAAACATAGCACTGGAGAAGCAATGCAATGAAAACGGAAAAAGTTGACGTAAACGTAATAGAAGGTTTACGTAGCACACTACCATTATGCGAATCCCATAGAGATTATTAGTGGAGCTTACGTTTTGCAAACATATCTTCACTGTAGATCGTATAAAACGATGAAGACTGGATAAAAAGTCATCTTAGCCTTACAGCACAGAATGGTCTATTTCTTCATTCTTTCAATACTTTTCATCTCCGCACAGGTATGCGTCAACTCAAAAGATTTATGAAACTGAATGAAGATTTTCTAGGCCTGTCCTCCACCCATTTCAACCATTGGTCCTTCGACCACCAGCCAGTACTTTACTACTTCCCCTTTTACTTACCCAGCTACCACCGTAACCACAAAACCCGAACCTGAAGCGGTACAGGTGACAGTAGTTACCAGGGAGAATTACGACCTAACTTTGAATGATTCACATCTGCAGGCAGTGAAGGCTCTGGTAAGAAATAAAGATTTCATGAAACCAGGTAAGGGCATCCATTCTTTCAGATAAATGACTATGCAAAAATCAATGGGATAGTCTACAACGAAAACTTTGTTAGGGAGAGCATAAGAAATGAGGGAGGCAAATTCGCTATTGTCTTCAACATATTGGGTGTTGCATGTGATCAGGTATGTCTAAGTTCATGTTAGTATGGTCTCCGAGCGGACCAATCAGCGTGCTCGAATGTGCTAATTGGTCGGCTCGGAGAAAAGACATTTTAGACTGAATTCTGAAGTTGGATTCTTTTCAAATGATGCAAATAAGCTGGACTTGAGTGGAAGCTTAGTTAAAGCTTCCCATTTCAG